GGAGTCCAGCCGGTGCAGCGGCGGCAGGCCGGCCGGCGCGGCGCGCGCGGCCGCGGCGCACGGCTCCCCGCCGCAGTCGAGCAGCCGCCTGTGCGGGCGCCAGGGCGGGCGGCGAACCTTGGCGGCGGTATGACGTCGCAGCCCCTAAAGCCTGGGGATGACGTGGCCCCGCTGGAGCATTCAAACACACGCAGGGTCCGACGCCCCCACAAGGCTCCAGGCCACTCGCGCATGCGCGCGCGCGCGCGCGTGTGTGTGTGTGTGTGTGTCTGTGCGTGTGTGGGTGTGTGCCCCCCTCACGTGAGCCTGTCGTGCAGGTGGAGGTCCGCAAGGCCAGGGGCGGAGCCGCCCTTGCCCAGACACACCAGCCCCAGCGCTGCGCCCGCCGCCAGCGCGTACCCCTCCCTGCGGTTGCGCGCCGCACGCGTGTGTGTCAGTTTGCGTGGGGGTGGCGGGAGGAGGGGAGGGGCTGAGCTTCAGACGGTCCCCTGGTTGATGGTCAGAGCTTCAGCGTTGGATCGGCAAGATAGACGGCCCCTGACACCGACGCAGACGAAACGTGCAGCCGCGAGCCGCCCGTCAGCCCGCCCTGCTCCACCCGCAGCAAATCAACAACCTCGGGAGCAGCAGCAGGCACGCACGCGCGCGCGCGCCTGTTGTGGGTGACGCCTTGCAGCGCCGCGGGCGGCGCGCCGGCGGGGCGCCCCGCGCCGGCCGCGCCGTGCCAGCCGTACCCGGTGAAGGCCCCGCCGCGCGCGCCCGAGCCGGGCGGCGGCGGCACCCCTGGCCGCCGCCCGATCTCCTCGAGAAGCGTCTCGGCCATAAGGCGGTGGCAGCTGCCCTGGTACAGGAGCCCGGTGCCCATGAGGGACGCCGCCTGCCGTGGGGGGCCGAGCGGGGGCGGCCAAGGTTGCAGGAACGGGGGGCGGAGGAGGCAGCAAGGGCGGCAACTGTGTGTGTGAGCTGCGGCGCGTTGGCCGCTTAGCAAGAAACGCAACCCTGGCTTGATCTGCAATCACCTTTCCACTGCAGCTGTTAGGGAGACATCTCATGCTTGCATATGAACACGAGCCTGTCCCCGCCCTGCCGGGTTGCTGGGCCCCACCCTGACACGCGCCCCCCCCTTGGCCCACCCGTGCCCACCTGCACCAGGGGCGACAGCTCGATCTCCGGGAAGCTGTTGGGGTGGCGCGCCGGCAGGTGCAGGAACAGCATGCGCGCGACAGTGGCGTCCATCGTGCCGCGCTTGGCGGCGGCCATGCCGAGGCACACGGCGATGGTGGTGGCGTCGTGCTGGAAGGACAGGTGCCTGGGGGGGCGGGGGGTGAAGGGCAGGGGGGAGGGGTTGCGGCGCACTGAAAGGGTTGCACGGTCTGCTGGCTTTGCGGCTGGTGCAGCGGGCTGGGCGCGTGGGGCGGGGCACGCACGGCAGGAAAAAGATGTTGTTGATAACTGGCACATAGAGAGAGCAGATCGTGGCAGTGCAGAAGGCTGGCAGAAAGCTCTGTGGGGCTTTGCTCGCATGGGTGCGTGGGCAGTTGAGATTCGCACGCCAGGAGCTACGCGCGCCAGTGGGCAGGCCCCCCGCCCCCCGGCCACCTGTAGAGGTCCGTCCACGTCAGCTGCTCCAGCTGGCCCCGCAGCCCCAGGGCCATAAGCAGCCCAGCCTGCGCATAGCTGGGGCCGTCCTGCCGCGCCACGTCCACCCAGGCGCGCCCAAACACGCCGCCGGCCGCCCCGCCGCCGCCGCTCGCTGCAGGGCTCACGGTCGCGAGGCTCAGGGCGCTGGCGACGCCATTGTGGAACTCGGGCCAGGCAGTCAGCTCGGCCGCCGCGCCGGCACCTGGGGTGACGGGGAGGGGGTGCGTGGAATATGTGCCAGCGTCAGAAGGGTCAGTGCGATTGCTGCCGGCACACAGGAGGGGCGTTCGCGTCAACGAAGGGGCGCGCCCAAGCCTCGCGGCACAGGCTCCGCGACCTGCGCTAGCCTGCATCTGAAGCGTGCATGATTGGCGTTTAGGAACGGGTGCTGGGCGCTGCTGAGTGGTGTGGGCCCGGAAACGGAGGGGGCAGCCCTGGGCCCCAACAGCCGCACCTGGAGCCGCTGTTGCATTTGCCAGGTCCAGCGCGACCACGCAGCGCGGCGCCTCCGACGCGAGCCCTGACAGGCACAGCGGCGGCGGCCGCAGCGGCTCCCCGGGCAGCGCGCGCAGCGTGCCGAGCGCCGCAGCGCCGCGGCCCAGGGGAAGGGCGAGCGTGCGGGCGGCGAGCGCCAGCAGCCCCGCCTGCTGCTTGGCTTGGAGGTCTGGGTCGTTCTCTGAAGCGTCCACCTGGATGGGTCGCCGGTTGCCAAATCATGGGTAGTCCAAAGCTTTTGGTGAGTGAAATGCTTGGTTCCCGTGGAGTGCGTGGCAGGACAGGTCAGTTGGGTGCCAAGGCAGCAGACGCAGAGGTAGCATTGAGCCTGCCGATGAGGCAGCTGCACAGGAGGTACCTCAACGCATGCGCCCTACAAGCTACCGGGCACCTGCGGGGCAGCTGCCCCGACCCAACCTCCGGCCCCGAACCAACCCTCCGGCGCACCTTCAGGGGCTGCGGTGCCACAGAGGACATCATCAGCCGCAACTCCGCCAGCCGGTTGTCCCGCCCAAACCGCAGTGAGTGCTGCGCCTGCGCCAAACCCTCAAGCCCATCGCCCTCGTCCGCGCCCGCCGCACCCTTTGCCAATCCCCCGCCCGCGCCGGCCCCGCCCGGCCGGCGCTGCTGCTGCTGCTGGGGCACGCCCGCCAGGCCACTGGCGCCCGCAAAGCTGGTCGTGGCGGCGGGCAGCTGCAGCCGCCGCGCGTACGGGAGCACGAGCAGCGGGCGCCGCCGGCAGCGCGCCCCTGGGGCGCCGTCACG